CAGGCTGAATATGATGATGAACTATTCCAAAGAACACCATATACATACATAGGAGAATTATTGACAAGATATTGTAACACGGTTTAGTTAATAATGACATTGTAACTTCACGGTATTGGTTAATAGGATTACATTTACATCGCCACGTGTCCTGTACAATCTAGTCTAAATTACTGCAAACTTCGGCTTAATCTCCGAGCTAACATGTCGCACCAAATCGACCCGGTATAAGGTACACGGTATGTACTATATTATTTCTTACTATGTATCACTTTAGCAGCATACTATATAAAACCGTTTTGTGAAACGTTTTCGTAAACAAGTAAATTGGTTATAAATTGTTTTTGTTTTTTTTTGCAAATTAACCATAAAATACCAATAAAATCATGGTCATAAAATTTTTGACTTTAAAAACTTACCCTTAATTTTCATATAAATTTACTTAAACCTTTCTTAAAACAAGACAATATTAAAGTTAGTCATTTAAGTTTAGTACTTATTATTGCATTGTTATTATTATGGAGCGATGTTTGACAACTAAATACAGAGACAGACAGACAGACAGACAGACGTGCGGAATGCGCGCCGGCGCCGCCCTCTACCGTCTACCAATTGTCGGCATCTAGATCGCGTATGTCTTAATTAAATGTGTGTGTGTTGTATGTATGAAGTTAGAAATTGCCATATTATTATATATATAGAAAGATTTGGAAGAAATTCACACATGGAGTTTCAAATTTAGCGTCAACGTATGGAAAATAAACAATAAGAACTAAAAACAAAAATGTTTTGTAATTAAATTTGATAGTTTTTTTTTTAATATTGAATAAGCTAGTCCACCACTGTCCCACCTAATGTTATGTCATGATGTGGTCGAAACATTGTACGCGCTAGTTCACTAAATGCCTATTCACTCTACTGTTGAACACCCAAACGTCATACTCAGTTATTTAGTTAGATAGTTTCAGATATCGAAGGTAACTATATCTTTCTTGTTTCTAGTATAACAAAATTGAACGGCACAGAGTTACTTCGCTAGAATTTCACCCGCAAACATCAAATGACCAGCTGGAATAAGTAGATAACAGTAAAACCAAAACAGAGCGTAAATCAACCTTTATGACGTCATAAAGCCGCTCCCATAAACCACTCGATTACAAGTAACGGAGCGACCAATGGTGCAGACAATGCACACTATCTCTACCTACACTAATCGATATTTATTGCTTCTAATTATATTTATATAATATTAAAATTGTAAATATTCTATAACACCCTGTCTCATAACTAGAGAACAATATAATACTAGCTGTCGCCTGCGACTTCGTCCGCGTGTCTTTAAATAATAGATTCACAGATTCTTAGACCTACTGAATATGCGTATAAAATATCATAAAAATCGGTTAAGCCGTTTCCGAGGAGTATGTTAACTAACACGAGACTTTAAATATTATATTAGACCGTGCAAGCGACTAATTATAATTAATTACTACGGCGACAAACATACTGAATATTCAAAATAAATTTGAATTGTTTAACAATAAGCGACCTAACATGAAAAATGTTTGGTGTATAACTTGACAAATATTAGCTTCGGTATCAATAAATTATTAAAAGCAAATAACATTTTAACCAATGTAAATACAAACAAAAATGTATTTAATAAATGTAAGCAAACATCGGTGGGTTAACAAAAATGTTATTAATTCGCAAATTGGATCGCTCAGCAAACTGCAATGGATGGGTTGGTTACCGCGCGGGTACGACGGGTCGAGCGGTGTGTTGGGCGGCGAGTCGGGCGGGCGGCGAGTCGGGCGGGCGGCGCGGCGTGTCGGGCAAACATCATCTCCCGTTAATGTTTAATTATATCAATTCGGCTTTAACCGTAACCGCAACGTTTGTAGACTGCGGTTAAGCCGGTTAATGAATCTTACAGATACCTCAATTTGTGATTAACTTGGTTTTACATTGATTGAACAAACTTGTACTCGTACAGTCAAAATAGTAAGTGGATAGCGATTTTTTTTATATTACTTTTTTTACTTCTTTCATAAATAATGATTATAGCTACAGGTAAAACGATATTATAGTACCTTTTTGATTATATCGCGCCTATTTCAATTGACAATTATCCTCGTATAGGTTAGATAAAAAGATAATAGTAATTTTTGTACATAAAACATGTAAATCTAGAAAAAAATATATTTAAATTATTTACTTAATTCTTTCTGTCATCTAGTGTCATTGTAACTAAGTGCATTACAAATTATGCTATGAAGCATTCTCTACACGTATTCTTTAGTGTATGTGGGCACAAGTTTTGTCGCCCTCTATGAGTTCATATCCTTGCGGTCGTGGCCGCGGTGCTCTGTGACGTCAGCTGTACGTAACCGCAGCCCGTCTGTGAGGTAACGTCCTTCTCACATAGTTACAGGGTTTAGTTAATTCAATGATAGTTTTATAGTGATGGTACACTTGTCGATAAAAAGAGAAAAAAGTCTAAATTTGAAGCTAATAATAAAATAATGTAAAAATATATATTTAATAAGCATATTAATTCATCAAAGACGTTTAAAGGTAAAAAAACCATTAAAAGAAATATATCTACTTATGAAAATAAATCATTTCATGAGTACTATTCATTCGTGTCATATGGGTGTACATTGAAGCAAGTTTGTGCAGAACGAAGCGCGACCTAATGTATGCGAACGCACGCCCGTGTGTTAGAGACGTGCGTCAACCAGCGTAGTGGCTGTTTGCTCCATTCATTAACCCATACTTTTTCATGGTGCAGTGTAAGTAGATTTTTTCCAGAAAAAATATTTACCAATGTCTTTAGTACAAAATTAAATCCATCCTTATTCTGTTTTTTGATCTTGGTAATAAGAAAAGAAGAATGTAAACCACAAGTTCTCGGTTCGATATAGATAGTAACAAGAAGTGGCAGTTGGAACGTTAAAACGATGTAATTTTATGTCGATATCGATATTTTTGGCTTGATTGACTTTTATAGAACAAGTCGTGTTAAATTAGATTTTTATATATTATTTTTTATTTTTTTTATTTTATAATATAAATAAAAATTTCGACTTTGACGTCATTATCTTTACAATAAGATGAGATAAAAATTCATAACAAAATTTGTGTTATAATTAAGTTCCAAACAGAGTTCGATATAGTCCGCACATCACTAGCCGGCACTCGTCGCGAGTGGCAGCATAACGATCTCGATAACGAGCCCCGTATTGTTCAACCACCACTAGCTTCCAATGCAAAGCGATCGACGCTGAAGCTTATATTGCTTTAAAGCGCTTTTTTGTTCAACTCTACAACAGTTTTACACTGTATAAAAACAACAGAGTAAACGATATTAAATATTGTACCTTCTTAAAAGGATTTTTTCTAACCTTTTTATTAATAGAAGTTACATTTTTTTAGTTTTCAGCCCAGTAAAGGATGGTCTGCTAATTACTATCTTTGAGTCACAGTAATATTGGCTACGTCAGAGTCTATTATGAGTATTTTAATAGAAAATAATTAAATATATTTGTTACGACTGCATCTGGAACAGTATGAGATTCATCTATCGAGGAAGTATTTTAATTACAGCGTCTAGTCCGGCCCTGGCGCGCCTGGCGATTGAACATGTTAGTTTGCAACTATTTAATGAAACATCGTATTGGAAACTAAACTCATTGTAACTTAATATATATTTAGTCAAAAACACTAATGCGTGGATTAGTTTTGCTAAGAAAATCTGTAGCAAAAAATTAAATAATTTTAAAATTAAAGTGTTTATCACCTGCACTAAACTACATTTTGTTTCCACGTATAATCGTCTACAATTACCTCGTGTCACAGTGGTGAAAGCTAGTAATAAAGTACTCAGTTAATGCAATGCCGAGTTTGTTGATTAGGAGAAGCGGGCAGTTGTTACAAACGCAGCGATGTACAATGACCACACTATTGTGCGACCGGGGTGGGACTCGGCGGTCGTTAATTTAAATAGTCGTGAATCCTAGTAGGTAGACCTACACCACATTTATATTAAAAATAATGTCTATGACTAGGAAACACAGTAATATCACTTTATAGGTACCAATATAAAAATATGACGGGGGGGCGTTTGTTATTGAAAATATGTCATAAAATTACTCATTTTGGGATGTACTACGTTAAATACAGTGCATCTTTTAGTGTTATAAATGTAGATGCACGGTAGATGTATAGTGTTCAGCATTCATTGCGCAGCAGGTATTCAGGTCGCGGCGCGGGCGTGGTCACCGCTGCTCAATGGATGGTAATAAGGCACATTCAACTAACAATATTACTTCCTGCTTAACTCACTAAGCTTTCAGTAAATTTAGCTTAAAGCTTCGAAGCCAAGTAATAGCGATGTGTTGTCGTAGTTTAACTTTTTTGTAACAAGATAAAAAAATATGATAATATAACAGCGCCATCTAGTAGAGTCGTATACTAAACTCCCTTATAAAGCAATTATTCGTGCTGTGGGTCACGACTGCTCGATTAGAGCGACCATTATTAATTGGTCATTGAAGTGACGCCATTGTAAGTCTCCAGCCGGATGTCCGGATGAACGACGTTGAATACAAGGCGCGGCCGACGGCCGGAGCCGTGGTAACGTGGATTAATAGACGATAGTTAGTTATTAATGTGTTACATTTAAATGTAAATTAACGTTTGTTTAAATTGTTTAATATTATACTTTTCTTTTTACTAAATTTGTCAAGATTTGTAATGTGTAGGCGCATATTTTTAATGATTTTCCAATCAATCAATACCCCTGTTTGTTTTTAACATGGATTATAGATGGCGCTTATCTTAAACTAGGAATACAACAACAATATTACTGAAGCATTATTTTTATTTTGCATACGCAAAAATACGACAATTCTTCAGTTTTGCCTTTATGTTATTGCCATCTTTTTATTTTACGCTTATATAATAATACTGTTAAGTTAATATTTAAAACAGCCAACCTGTACAGCGTCGTCGAGACAGCGGCCCCAGGCGTCGCTGCGGTCGACGAGCGAGTTCCATGTGTCGGCCAGCTTGCCCACCTCGCGCCGGATGGAGCGCGCCAGCTCGCGCGCCTGCTCCTCCGCAGACCGGTAGCCGCGCGAGTCGCCCTCGCTCTCGCGGCTCGCTGTCACCACACACATAATGTTAACATACCAATGTATGATAAATCATACAAATTGACTTCAAATTTTTACTGGAAAACATAAAAAAGAATTATTCCTAGACTCATATCATTGTTAGATGTACTAAAACAGAATTATTTCTTCGTATAGTCGACTGTTGCGAAGGAGAGAAATAGAGAGCTCAAAACAGTTTCCAAGCGACTGAATTCGTATGATATATAACAGGCTTACAGTAAACAGTATATAATATGTATGTATTTGTGCTACACTCAGCAAACTTATGTCGGTATTCGAATCAAAGGCAGCATCTTGTGCAATATCTCTTTGTTCTCGCGGCGGCCATATTGCGCGCCTCCGCGAAAAAGGCGGGAATTTAATAATTATCGCGTAACTTCCGCTTCGCAGCATCCTGCGCCTTGCAAAGCCTTCGCTCCAAACCTCGTTTGTATGTGCGAGTTTGTGTGTATGTAAGTGTTCGCCTTGAGGCGCAATAAAGCGTGTTCACGTTCTTTTATAACGATACCATTTTATTATTTCTTTGATAATTTAAATGTTATAGATTTTATTCCTGAGAGATAATATATTGGTTACAAAGTTACTCGGTCGGACGGGAATATTTTATCGAGACTTAACTGTTTTTTCTAATTTAAATTTCTTATAACACGATGTTTTGTATGTACGAGAAATTATTGGAATTTTAACCTTTAAATTTAAACCTTCACACGCGATATTTATAATTTTTTTACAAAAATAAGCGAATGTTCTCTCATCGCTGGATGCAAATAATTATGTTGATATTTACCTATCACTTGAGGTTGATTTTTTTAATTAAGTTTCCTGCGAGTTGGAATCATTACTCTGCCGGCAAGTGAAACGTATCGAAAATTAATAGAAGGACCTTTGATAGTGTAGTCGGGCGTCCCAGGGGTGGGGTTGGATGGTAAAGTTGGAGGGGGAAGAGGTATACTCCTGTTTTAATGGTGACTATGAAAGGAAAAAAAATTTTTTCAATATGATCTACTAAAAATTGTCTTGAAATTGTGTATATTTTCGAAAGTATTGTAAAATAAGCAATCTACACCATCCGCGTGTACACGCCTAAGTAAAAAGCTTGGCTTGTTATTTTAAAAAAAATAATCAATATAATCTTGCGTGTTGTTTTTATGAAGAAACCAGATTAAATCTAGTTTAAAAATAATTGAATAATTATTATGAACAGTTTTTCCGTTCGAAATTAAATACACTTTTTCACAAACGTAAATTAATTTTCTCTGGCAGCATGTAAAGTGAATACACACCACTCAAGTGTTGTACAAGATATTTCATCCTTAAAAATCTAGCTTTGAATGTAAATAATTTAATCGACAAGACATTTAAAGTATGTTTAATACGATCAGTTACATTTTTGAAATAATTTACTTCGAATATATTTATTCCTATTAAATTCGATTCCTATCAACAAAAGACAACAAGATATTTTTTGCATATCTCTACCAGATAATATCTTACTTATAAGTAACTAGGAAATTCCGTAGCATCGTAGCACAATAGCTACGCTACTCTCGTTATCGGCGCGTAGCAACAGATTGGTGTAGCCGATTCAATTACAGGCAGCGCTGTAGAGGCTGAGGCAACATCTCGCCTCTACCAATTAATACATCCACCTCTATACTAATTGCAAACGCCTTGCTGCAAGAAACATCACTCCTTTGTGCTTTGATATGCAACTTGACACATTCTATGTCTACGTGTACCTTCACAACCAACTCTGTCATAACGATTGAATACATAAATAAGCAATTAACGATATTGACCACGTTTCAACAACCAGTCAAAGGAATATTTCACCTCACTGTTACAGTACTATTAAAGTTAACTCATGCTATAACTACACCAAGTTGCAACATTTAATGATTCAATTGCGTTTGTTAGTTATTTAAGGTCGTCACAATAATAAAAACTTCTTAATGTGGTTTCAGTGTTAGTGTGAGATACTGACGCTCAGTGTCGCTGGCGTCGGCGAGAGGTTCCGCGGCAAGGTACTGACGGCCGCTCAGTAGGTTGCTCTCCACCACCGGTCGCTTGTCCTCCAGTTGGCGCCGGAACGCGCGGTGATCGTCCTGCATACATACAGACACAAAATAAACACATCGTTATAAAACATTATATGCGTTTACATTTGTATATAAAAGCACTAACATAATACTATATACTATAATACATAAATAATAGGAAAATATGCGATAGTTTGCCAATAACAGAGATGTATAGACATATTTCCATGATAAAAGAGTTCGCATATGCAAGAAAATAGGCAATAATGATGAGATATCGAAGGCCAGAACATTATCTCAGTACTTGGCGCGTCCGACAACATAAATCGTGGAGATGGGTTGGCGGCCGTGAGAGCCGAGCGCCGCCGCCGCGAGAACCGAGCAATTGTTCACTTTATATCTCAACTTTGGATTTTTATGTTAATAGTATCACCGTAAAGAAAACTTACTTTTATGTCTTATTTTTATTGTGGCATATATGCCTGGATAATGAATTTGATTTTACTACTGGTAAGAGAAAATAAACCAAAAGAAAACGTAATTTACATTATAAACAGTTTAATTCCTTGTGTATATAATTTTACTAATAAATTGACTGTATTATAAATTTAACAAATTACCAAATAAACCTCTGAACGATGACAGTAGAAGTCACAAATGTATTTGAAGATATACAGAAAGACTAACGATTTAATCAAAGACTCAAATTAGTTACTATCTTTTCGGGGATTTGTTTAACGCGCTAATACAATAATATTGAGCTGCCGACTATAAATGTTAATTATTTGTCATTGACACAATAATCGATTAATTAATTCATTAGTTGTATGTTGTTTACCTGTTGTTTGAGAAGCGCGGCGAGGTCACCGCGAGGGGGTGCCAGCGCGGTCAGTTCGGTCTCCTTGCGGATGACCCACTCCGTCAGCTCGCGCAGAGAAAGCAGCAGCGCTGACCAGTGCTCCGCGTTGCTCTCCAGACGGTTCCTGAAGGAAGACGACGTTATAATTACATGACTAGTTGAACACGACATGCGTTTCTATATATAAGTTGAAGAACACTCAAAGTTTAAGTTTAAGTGCAGAAATTTTCGTCAACAACAAATATACATTAAAAAACTCATAAAATTCTGTCAAGCTGTTTTAGATTTTCATATAAATAGCCTCATACTAAAATGCCCATTCATTTAATTTTATGTAATTGAGGTATGAAAGTCATATCAAAATAAATTCATTTAACATTTAGATTACATCCAGTAGTAAAATTACAAGAGACGTGTAGATAGCGGACCTCTAATAGCAGGTTAGGGGTAGGGGTTGAGGGGTGGGGAAGATATTTCAAAAAGTTGGCGGCGGCGTAAAGCTCACGGAATGCTTGCAATTGTTGAAATTTGGCCGCGGCTCAGCTACATAATATGTTTAAGCTGATACTTTAGATAAAAATAGTGATGCGCACAACACTTATCGATAAAGTTGAAAAAAATTGCGATTTATATAATATATTTATGCTTGCGTATCTTCAATCAGTTAAGTCGACATGTAGTATTTGTAACTTTTTACCTAAGGAATTTAAAACCAAATCTATTTTCGCATAATCGTCAAGCAACGTGAAATATTTCACTAAGTTAACAAAAGATGGAGCAACACATTAAAATCCTTAAAAATTATTCATAAGTATCGATATAAAATCATCGACAAGCCACATCACTATACAAAATCTATAAATCGTGCGCTTTGCTCAAAATTTGGCGCGGACTCATTCCGCCTTACACTAAAAGCACAAAGTTAAATATGCAATCCTTAAACTTGAACCGTAATTGAATAAAGACGGAATAGCTCCAACTTTGTACAGTAACTTAATTCTAATTAACTTAATTTCATTAAACTTTGTAAATTAATAACTTTGCTTTGTTAAACAGTAATAACGCCAAGATTAGAGGTTTTAAAACTCTAAAGTTGGACTCTGACTTTGAAAATTATAGACCCAGCGACTGTAACTAAACTTTTATATAAGACTAAGATATTAACTACGGGACAAATTTTATCAAAGCATTTATATTTTCTTATCAAAATAGAAAATCTTTCTATTTAACCTCAATGTAAATTACTTGAGATGTAATTGAAAAGGAGAGTAAGTAAATGTTGCTTTTATTAAACTATTTAATAATAAAAAATATAAAAAAGTATATGACTCAAGAAAGACAACCTTTAAAATGATACCGATTTTTCTAACGTTTCATACACGATTGTTAATTTGAACGTTTTTTAAATAATTACAGACAGCAGAACATTTACTTTAGCAATCATAAGGAAGTCCCATTTCCAGTGCGTTGTGCAGGGTAAATACACAGTATTTTACATGCGGCAGAGAACTCATGCCGTAACAAAGGTTTCACCTGCCCTTCCTAAGTTAAACACGTTAGCGAACAAACATGTCGGAACATACTTAGTGTTTGTTCGACCCGTCGGTTTCCTACATATCACGAAACACGTTAAAGCGTTAGAAGTAAACGTTAAAACACGTTAAAAGTAAAACTTATAAACGAATTTAAAATCTCCTCCTTTTAGAAAACAGTTGAAAACATATAATAATATTTTCTTAAGAAAAACAGTTTACAAGCCACGTTTAGTCAATTTAGTTTAAAAGTTCATAAACGTCAAAACAATACTAAAAAGTGATAACATTTCCGAGCACTTATGTACAATGTACAAGAGTCTGGATCATTTAAATATATGGACCGTAAGTGTACATAAAATACTTTAAATATATTACGAACATAAAGTGATTTTATACGTTGGGCCATAAAACGAACGATAAAGATGTTTCGCAGCAAAATCGACATTTTATTTCACTATGAAATTACTAAACGCGTGTTTACTGCGCGTCGCGGCGTATGCAGAGCGCGGTTTGGGCTTGGGCCATAACTATAGCGGAAAATAACTATTTTACGATGATAATAAGTATCTTTTTTACAAAATGTAATTAACTATTTAACAGACGACGTTAAAAATTATACTAATTGTATAAATATAAAAACTTTTTGGTACTAAAGCTTTTGAGCAATGTGAAATCATTTTGCCAAGATTAGGTTACGTTAAGAAAAGAGTTACATTATCTACAGTTACAACTTTAACTTTATCATTTTGGAAACTTAATGCCCTCAAATTATGATCGTTCGAAGACTTTTTATCTGTGACAGGGAAATAAAAGATGTTTTTATGTTTACAATAGTACATGTTCTTATAACACCCCCAGGGTGTTTGGCGGGGGTTGCAGCGGCTGCAAGGGGCCACTTTTATCGGTACCTCGTCTCGTGTCAACTTGCCTATAAAATCAGTTTTATGATGCGGAACGTCTTTGTTAGTGTTTGAAATCGAATATTTTGCTCCACCATATAATAGAGGGTCGTTTATGTTGCTTTTGAAATCTTTATTCAATAATTGTCGGATTATAAAACGATTTATTCTCACTACATCCTAATAGTTTGTCATAAATCTTAAAATCGTTCATATGAAAGTATTAATTCATTTTAATATCACAAGAGCTAAATGTATGTTTCTACATATATTGTACAATCTGTGTAGTACTTACGCGCAATCTTATCTCAAACATTTCAGAAAATGCAAACAAAACTTGTACAACGACGACAAAGTACTGGAATTCATCTCGACTACAATCCGAAGAAGGCAAAACTTCCCCGCATACTTTACCCTACGGAGCGCTCTCAAACACAGCAAATATTTTCCGAATAAACTCACATGAAATTTCATAGAAAATATCACAAGTATGTTACGTACATTGGGATACTTAAGCCGGGTCTTTGGAGTATTCTGTATAGACATGAGGTTCGGCATTTCGACCGCGCCTCGCCTTTCAAAGGCTTTCGGATCGAGTGCAACTTTTATCAGATTCCACAAGAGTTGCCACACAAGTTGTTTGATGTTCTGCCTCCGGGATATCTTATCGCCAGTATTTGCATAGTCGGGATTTATTTGAAACTAGTTTTGGAATCATGCTTTTTACTTTCACTTTTATTTGAAGAAGCGGTAAAGTAAGTAGTAAATTATCAAATTTAACAAGTCTTAATCTTCCATTGAAGTTTATTAAAGTGTTACGTTTATATTTTTTATAATTAATAAAGGACAATAAATTGTTTCGTCCGTTTTAATAATAAACGGAGACTTGTGTAACGGCGTTATTAAGAAAGTGGAGCTTTAAACGTCTCTGAAGGATTTAAGAGCTTATAAGACGATAAAATACAATAAGCAATTTATTGTAAGGGACTTGGAGAGCCGCACACGCCTGCTAAGGGTTAATTAATCATAGAATAAAAACATCGATGAATTAATTAAATGGGTGAAACATTAGAGCGGGCGCAGCGGAGCGTTACAAACTGAGCTCTATCACAGTGAGTTACGACTGCTTTCCGAACGATTAAACGCAAAAAGATTTATGACATGTCGTTACTGAAATGATTAATTTAGTTTATACGACGTCCACGCGGACAGCGAACTAAGCGCTGCTGTTTAAGCGACATAAATGCTTTAAGCTAAGCCACGTAGATGTTAGAAGAAATTTAATTAATTAATTCCGATTAAAATGTATTATTACTAAGAAGAATTAAATTTTTTGCAGCTAAAATATGTATCTACAATATTAAATCCTTCTCACAAATGTAGTACCTTGGGCCAAATAAAGTGTCGTCAAAACTGATCCGGTAATATGAGTCAATTCGTAGTTTTATAAAACTCGCTTATTTCCTGGCCCGACTACTAAATGAAAACCCTTCGTTAATAATGGCGTTACGAATAGGAAATGAAATTTCTGACAGCTATTTATGGAACTGTCAATTGAGCCGGGCGGTTATTAATTGACTAATTTCGGGGTGTTAATTGAAATGTTAGAGGGTGCAATATACATTATGAAGGGTACAAGACGAGACAATGTACTCTTTCTTAAATGTTTTATTCGAAAGAAATTCTTTATTCTATTATAAAGTTACTCTTACTAATATGACACCATAAATGCGAATGTTTAGATGGGTGGATACATGGATGTTTGTTAGAAGGTATCTCCAGAACGTCTCAACGGATCTCGATGAAATTTGACAGAGATGCAGAACATAGTCTGGAAGAAAACATAGGCTACTAATTATGTTTTCTTAATTCCGCGCGGACGTAGTCACGGGCGACAGCCAGTTCTAATATAAAGCTATAATTTCCCTTCGGCCATCAATTAGCCGCAACAAAGCCAACAGGACGCTCGTCTAATTGTCAATGTATATGATAATGCCGCTGAATTGGGACGTGCTGTCTGTTGTATTGATCGCCTCACCTCATGCAGTAGCCCGAAATACGACTGATTTTAATTATTCGATAATGATCTGATGAATCAAGAAATTACCTTTTAGTATATAATTAACTGTGATTAACTGTTGTACTCAGAATTGTTTTATGGTCACTAAGGTTTCTCTTAACATTTAGCTACGTTCTTTATTACACGCACGACTTAAGCGCTACGAAAAAATTCAAAAAGCTTTGCGGTACACTTTATTCATCCGGTGTTATGATACCTATGCGTTATTTTTTATCACTACCTTTTGCTGCACGCAATTAAAAAAAAGAATTAATAGCCTCTGTTACTTAGTGGTAATGTAGCTTTCTGTAGGCTAAAGAATTTTTCAAATCGGGCAAGTAGTTTTTGAGTTTATTTTTTTAGTTACAAAAATTCAAAATTTTACCTTTTTATAATTTAAGTAAACATAAAACACTACTTGCACTAATTGCGACAGCTTTTTTTATTATAGTTGCTCAAAAAACCACACCAACAAGTTCGTTAAATGAAAAACAAAATCCTACAACACAAGTGAAGTGGAACAAATAAAATAAAAATTTACAGTTTTCCATAAATAAATAATGCGCTTCAATAAAATGCGACAACAAATTAAAAATAAAAAACAATTCACGTGAAAAACTATGAATCCTGTTACGTTGTAGTAGAGTACGGGCATGCGGTGTGTTTCAGCCGACTGTGCGTCAAAATGATACGCAAATACAAAAGTCCCTCGTTAATATTCATACGACAAAAAATGTATGACGAGCGGTGATTTAAGCGAAACATTTTTAACGCGGCTGCGACATGAATAGCAAACCTTTCTCGCTACGTATGTAAGGGCTCTGACACACTGCTGCGAAATACTAGACTAGCCAAAATAATGATAAACGATAATTTTTAATGTTAAAAGACATTTGAGATAATTTAGACAGTAAACAATTAAAAAAAACAACTGCCACGATGAAAAGAAAACGAATCTAAAGGAAAAATATAATATTTAAATGCCTAATTAAAAACTTAAGTTATTTCCATGTTTGGTTCATATATTTGCTAACTTAAAACCAAAATCTAAAAAATTGACATTGGCTCTAAAATGAAGACTATCAAAATGTTACACTAGCCTAGCGTAAAATAAACTTTATAACTGAATTCAATGTTCAATGGCGTATTCCCGCGCTGAACGCCAATCTGTCATTTTGAGTGTGACGTTTGTAAATGCGTTCGGAAACGCGTTGCTCCGTTACACGCATTACGGCGAAAATCATTTTTGTTCTTTTCGTTTGATGTTAAAAAGTCGCGCCTGTGACGTTTTTAATAAATTTTGCGTTTAATCAATATAAAACGATTGTTAAAAATAATTCTGTATACCTATATTCTTTGGTACAGTATGAACAATGTAACAGGTAGCGCGTTATATACAACTTTGTCTAACTTACCTAATGGCCATGCTCTTGGCCTTAAGATGGTGCCATCGTTGGTTCATCTCGTCCAGCCGGCGCTGCAGCATGACTGCGTCCTCTTGCGAGGACAACGAGCCCAGCAGCCGACGGCCTGTTCCCGTGAGCGACGCGTATACATCGCGGTGAGTCTCGATCTCTGACTGCAAATCCTGGAACAAAAGTAACAATGTTATTGTCACTGTTAAGACAAATACATCTGGGGAATAAACATGTTAAGGTAAAGATCGGACCGCGATAACTTGTGTCTTGAACTCATAAAGGTCTATTTCAATAAATCTTATTTATAATTACTTTAAAACTTAACTACTATCATATTGCAAAGGTCAAGTAGCTGTCATGTAACTTCGCGACATTAAAAGCACCCCAATAGCGCCGACCAAATGACAGCGGTGAACCGTGTGTCATGTGAGAGAGGCCGACTATTACCGGAGCTATATAAAAGTGACGTATGTTTATTACACTATACGCAAAAAATATGTCAGCTCCTGACACAAACGCGATTGGCTGACAAGCTGACAGACGATGATACGCACAAAGCATTCAGCTTGACGGTTTACTTATTCTAAATGAAATTCTAAGAGAATCCAAACAATATCCATTTCAATAAAATGCAAAGATGAGAGCAGTGTCCTGAGCCTGCAGGAAAATACCGGTGTTTTAAAGTTATGCGTGATTCTGAAATTTATTACCACAATACGTTTATTTAGGCTCGCGATATTTCACAGAATGTCTACCCTAGCTATCATTTATCTTATTTATGTTTTTGAACTTTTAAAACTCTAAAACCATGTAGAAATATAAAATCTTAGTAATAACGTTAGCGAAAACAATAACAGCAATTTTAAAAAATCAGAATAAAAAATGTTATTGATAAAAATCGCTCGCACAACAGGCGGGAAACCATCCCTTTGTGACGGACGTTTGAAATATTAAAGTAGTTTGACACGGGCGCAGCGCCGACACGATTTTAATTTATCAATTTACACTGTGTGTTTTTTTTGAATACCTGACTATTATCGAGAGTTTATGTGATGTAACTATTGTTAAAATGTTTAAAAGTTAAAAGTGTCATAGAATAATGATTTCTTTAAATTTATCTTGTTTTACACAATTCCATTGTCATGATGTTTCTTCGGCTTTGAACTTTGTATATATAACATGTATTGATATTTACAACCATTAAAAAATACGCAGAAATTATTCGAGAAATTCATAATATATTTATAAATTAGATAACAGATAAATTGAATTACAAATTAAACAATAGAAAGCGTAACATTAATATAATTAATTAGAACATAGCATGAATTAGCGTGATAGGAGACTATTGTCGTCATTCATAAGCCAGCGCCGGCGATGTGATTTCAGCGTACTTCATTATTATTGGACAGACGTCGATTCATCTCGTAGCTCCGAGGTACAGAGATTTATTGTGAGAGGCATCCTTATAATATATACTTTATTTACGTCATAGATTAACAATAACGTTTATATATAATATGAACTAAACTGTAATGCTTAGATTTGATACAACTACGTAAAAAGTTTAACACACTTCCATGCAATGCGGATTTTCAAATGGCAATTTTTGTTCAAATGTTTTTAGGGAAATATTTTGAACGTCTGTTCTATAGTTGATTAAGAATGGTGAACAAGTTTTTGATACATTCTGGTCAGTGATTCACAATAATCACTGTTTGACTTCGTCAAGAGATCTTTTAAGTTTTTGATGAGTTCTATTTGAACCTTTAGTCAACGATCTCTATTGACTTTGAAAGGATCCGGAGAGTAAATACAAAGCCTAATTTATCGTTGATTTATTCATTTTACTTTTGTATTTATATTTCTGCTGATTTCATCAAATTTAAAAAGCGATTATACAATTTATATTTGTGATGGAAGAACATTTATTTCTTATTAAGCTTAACTTTACTTTTTCTAATAAACTCGAAGCTTGGGCTAGTATGAGATTAACGACAATCAATTGGGACGGTCGAAATGGCGGGAATCGAAGACTTGACCGTTAGATCGAATCCAAACATTTAACTATTAAGCTATTGGCGCTTCAACCATAGTGATACTTACTAAAAATCAAGAAATAGTCAGAAGTTATTCCGCATTATTTCCGGGAATAACCTAGTTGTTTATAACTTTTATAATATAAAGCCTCTTTTTCGCTAATCATCTTTTCTTCCTCGTAAACTTTACTGGGAACAAAGTTTCGAGTAATATTTTTAGAGCTTGCGCTAAGCCCGCGGCCGCAACAAAGCGCCCTCACTTGTCTCTGTGGAGTTCAAACTGAAATGTTTTAGGATTAAAGTTTTTATTTGCGTTAATATCTAGTGTTCTCCGGATTGAAGTTTAAAGAGGATTTTATTTATATTTTATTCAGAGTAAAGCTGCACCGCTAACCTGGTTATTGGATGCGTTTTAAGTTTATTGAGAAAAAGTCTGCGTATATTTTGAGCATGTCGTGTCTGATATGGGAAGGTGGGAGATAAATCTTAATAGAATTAGTAGCGTCGGTTATTCCCGGTCAAAGACAGACGTTTGGTTTAAAGACGGCTGAAATTAACCGCCGGAATTTGTCAACCGAGTGAAGAGGATTGCGGCGCGCACTGAATCGCTAATGAACCGGTTCCAGCCGGATAGCACCGGTTTTAACCGGACCGGGACAGAACGTCGGTATTTCGGCGCGAAAAGTGACTTAATTTTATCATTGCCATGTCAACGTAGAAGTGGGTACGATTCGTACGTGTTTGAAATAGAGGCCACGTTTGAATTTTGATTATGTTTAGTACGCCTTATTACGTGAATTATGGTACGATTCAAATTATTACACGTCTCCTTGCCGAGATAATTTATTACAACTAGATTATCAAATTTGACGCTTTCACATGCAAACACAGCTATATACAGACTTTAAGAACATATATGTAGATACATCTGATATTCAAGTACTATGTACAAAACCGAACAGTGGAACAAAACAGGAACGCGTATAGAAATCCTTTAGTAATGAGTTCGATTCAATATCGCTGTCAAGTTGATTGAGATAGTGGGGGCCCGCGACCTCCCTCCTCCGCTCCCCCC